CAGAAATTTCGTCTTCGCAATCGCTTTGCACCATAGAACAATTGAGGCCAATTACGTATCGACATAATGGACATTGTTTCGGTGGGCCAATACCTTTTGATGACCTGTTGTTGTTAACCTGTGACAAGAAACGTTACCTGCTCAGAGCACCAGAACTGGACAAGTGTTTTCAAGACGACACCACCATTCTTTGTCCTGGGAATCTTTTACACACTGTTCAACAGCCAACATGGCTCGGGTTACCTTGGACGCCATCATCGAAGATTGCTTTCAAACAATTTCATCAGACGCTCTCGCACTGTCGTCATACACCATCCATGCTATTACTTGGTTGCCTTCCAGTGGTCAAATGTATACCGCACTGCGTTCCTGGAAGACCGCCCGTGGGGCCATCTCCAAACTTATCGCACCCAAACTGACCATCATGGCCTAGCGATTGGGACTCCCGGAGCCGCGCAATACACGGCGCCGGACCATCTGCGCTGGGCTCTGTGCCGAGTACAGTTAACGTACCTCCAACAACGACGCCTCCCGTCTCCGCCAGTCCGGATCTGGACGAAGGGGCTCCCCAACTCGTGCTTTGTTGCGACGTTGCTGCCACAGTACGCGCCTGAAGTTAGAAATCTAGAGGACATCGGCTGTCCGGCCCTCCGGAGGCTGTTGACCGGACAAGACGACCAAACAACTCCGAGCACGCTGTTAAAGGCCCTGTCCCTGGCTGCTTGGGTCGAAGCTCACCCTACCAGCAAACCTTCGTAGGCTGCGACATGTTCTAACTCTTTAATTTTTGGTAACTAACTATGCGCGGTCCTTCAGTTTTGTCTCGTTATGTATTAACTTATTAGCTTGATTTATCTTTTCGTACTTGCTATTGCTTAATTTGAACCCCCGAGGCCATTATATTTCGGCTTGTTCGGTTTATGCCGCGGTTCAGGCACAAAACAAAATCAAATACAAAATTCATAAAACAAACAAACAAACAACAAAAAAAAAAACCATCCCTATAGTTTTACTTCGCTGTGCTTTTTCGTTTCTTGTATTTCTTATGCCTTCTCCTTTTTCGCTCGACCAGGAGGTCTCGATTTAAGGTGGAAGGAATGTAACGATAGGATTTTTAGTGATTTTTAGTATCGAGTTCTTTCATGCTTACGCTCAAAAAAATACAATATTCCACGTAGAAAACTTAGTTCAGCAAAGCGTAAACGCTACCAGTTCTCCTTTAGTCACCCGTAAACAGTTGTTATTAGTGTTAAACTGTAACAGCCACCTGTCATGTCCTTTTGTGTAACTGTTATCCACCGGAACTCTTTAAAGTAATTAATGTTGTAAAAGGCGAAATTCCTACTTAGCCAATAGTGTAGTAGATTACATGATCCTGTAGATTATTCATGGCATTACGTTATCCATGTACGTTAGGTTTAAATAGGACTGTTCTGTAAAGCTTAGCGGTGAGAAAGTTAGGAAGAGAACGGGGTCGAACCAGCCCTGGCCAGGTCCGTTCTGGTCAAAATTGTAGTAGAGCTTGAAGAATAAATCTACGTTGGAGCCAACCCTGTTGTCGTTAGTCATTCTCTCAAGGATAGTCAGCAACCGTAATAGATTCCGGTTACCTCCCCGCAGCCAGCGAGTGCCCCCAAGGAAAGCCTTTACCCAGAAGAGTTTTTAAGAGTTGTCCCCGTCCGTCCGTTCATTTGTGAAGGCAAAACCCTGTTTTCACAAGGTGGAGGTTTCATTCGATTCTCGTATTTCATGCACGTGACGTGTTGTCGTTTCACCTTATTTAAGACATTTATGCCTTGTTTTAGATGGTTTTAGATAGCTTGCGAGTGGCTGTAGATGTTTTTGAGGTGGTTTTAGGTCGTTATTGAAATTTTTGAGGTGGTTGTAGATGGTTGTAGGTAGTTTTAGGTGGTTTTAGGTCGTTCCATGTTTTAGTACTTACAAGAACTGAATGCATAATGTAGTATGGGGCTGCGCGGAAATTTTACCCGATACTCTTCAGCCCGGCCAAAGTTACAGTAAAATGTATGGGACAGAACCTCGATATTACAAACGTTCGATTTAACGAAATCCTCGTTAAAACGAACACCCCGATATAACGGTTTCCTGGAAAAACTGGATCAAGAATCACCGGATCACCGAATGAAGGATCAAGGATCAGGGATCAAGGATCAGGGATCAAGGATCAGGGATCAAGGATCAGGGATCAAGGATCAGGGATCAAGGATCAGGGATCAAGGACCAAGGATCAAGGATCAGTTCAAAATGAATCAAATAAATTAAATAAATTAATAGGTATGATTGATTGCTCATCTACGTGACTCAGTCAAGATCTCTCTCTGTTGACAGACAGGCGTTGTTTTTTAGCCCTTCCCCATCTGCCGACTGTCACGCTACCCTAAAGAACGCTTGATCGCAAGTTAGATAAGAAACTGCCTATTCTTGATTCCAGTGTAGTTTTCGGGGATTTTTATTGATAGTCAAAGCAAACGTCTGTAATTTTATTCTTTCACCAGAGAAATGAAAAGATAACCTTTTTTTTTTTTTGTCATTCACACAAACCTTTCTTCTGCACAGAGACATTTGTAGACATGGGTAATGGACGACAAAATCGCCATTATTTTCCAATTCTTTGCATTTTTACCCAAGCATTAGTCAATCTAACAAATAATTCCCAGGTTTTCTCCTTGACATTGAGCTGGATATTTCATCTGCTCGCGAAAAAGTCACGTTTACGAGTTTACAAAAGTCACGTTTACGAGTTTACAGACACCAAACAGACAACCGGCTGCGAGTCGTTCGCACGTCTGAGTGAAAATCTGTGACGTCATTTGTTCGCAGCGCTGAGGTTCGAAACAATTCCTGTGGCTATTATCTTTCTAACTCGAGCACTTTGTTTACTGAAAATACTGTGAATGTGGATTTGTCGTCATCTCCCGCTAGTGACAGCGAAAATTCTTGCAGATTTTTTAGCACTTCTGCTTTTGCGCACCATGCTTAACCGTTGGTGCGGTTCCCCTGTTAAAGCTGTCGAGAAACAGAGAATCGGCAAACGTCAAGGTCCTTTATTTTGTCGGAAGTGATCAAAATTTTATGCCTGTTGTGCTTCCTGGTGACAAAAAAAAAGGAAAAACAATTCTACCTCGTTAGTCGTCATGTACTTTCTTTAAAAAAAATCACGTAAGGCTAAGAACTGATTCAGTTCCCCAGTATGTGTTCTTGAGATTTTCGACTTGTTACCCCCATGTATACTCCAGGGGACTCACAACAACAACTCAGTGGGGCGATACAATTTTATCACTTTCCGAATCATGTCTCTTGTCAAATCCCGTCGTAAAAACTGCTACTGCTAGGTCAACACAACTTGTATTAAAACATTCAAGTGATGTCAGCTTCTCGTAAGCCTCGTTTTCTTGATCTATCAACTTAACGTCAGTGACCAGTTCATCATCAGAGTAATAGTTTGACAGATTGCCATCATCATCATCTTTGGCATCATCAGATGGACCAGGGACAGCTGCCTGTACTTCCTGCTGTGCTTCAACACGTACATGTGCATCATGATGTCCAGGAATTTCTGCAGGCCCATCATCTTCTTCCCCTCTCAACCTAGACCTATTGTCGCTGAAGTAGGGCATTCTTTTCTCCTGCAACCAAACTTCAAGCTTAAATTTCGTGCTTCCAACACAAAAAGAACTTGCGCGATCATACCTTCTGCAGACAAAGCAAAACATTTTGTCCTCTTTGTTTACGACATGGTATTCAAGCCATGGGAAGCTTTCTTTCCACGATGGATCAAAAGTTCTCTTTCTCTGAGTGCTCTCATAAATCTAACTGCTTTCCTGTTTACTGGTACTTTCAGTTTCGGCCGTTTTCCCCTTTTAACATGGTGGCGCCTCGTAATTTGTCAAAAATCGCTCCATCTTTACAATTGCTTCAAGTGCTAGGCGATGTGCAAGGAACGTAACATTGGTAGGGAGAAGACTGGGGAAGACATTGACCATTAAGCGCAGAGCAGGTAATTTAGTGTTAACAACTGGGTTGAAAACGTAAATTAGCCACCGTAAAGGGTAAAAAAGCTGACGTTTCGACCGACGCAGCATAGCCCTTTATTCATTAAGTCAGAGTCTGGGATTCCTAAGCCGCTCAGAAAATGACAGGGTTATGCCTTCTTTATTGGTGTTATCATAAACTCAAGTAAACGAATTATGTATAATTTCTTTTAATTTTTCTACTAACCAGCGGGCTATTAGACGTGGTTTTTTATTAGCCTGACCAAATTTTTACTAACCTCGGGTTACTGGGCTTGCAGAGATGTCGAACCCTGCAGTAATGGTTTTACTTTATTCTGGTGGTTCATAACTAACAAACCACAACCGAACCTCTGTTAGAGGACACTTGCCCTCGTCCTGAGGGTGTCCCCCTGAATGGATGTTCCACTGTAGTTGGAACGTGATCCTTTATGTAGACGGGAGAGAATTATGTGTTGGAATAAAAATCTTCCTTCCTCGCTTTCTCCTTATTTACCCGTCACACCCCTCTCCCGGGCGGCCTGAGTAAACCCCTGGGGTTCTGTAGAAAACTGGGGACTACTCAAACGTAGGATCAAGAGGTATTCATGATTTAGCTTCTCTGGGCGCAATGAAAGGTTTAGGTGATGCCGTGGGATACCCGTCTTCGGTCTTGATTACCACTGATTCAATTTGTCCAATTCGGCACCAGCACACGATAGCGTAAAACGATTTTTTGACGAGGATAGAGCGTAAATGGGAAAGGCAAACCTTGGAAAAAGTCAGTGAAAATCGCATTTTTGGTGGGGGGCGACGAGAAAAAATATACAGGGCCCGTGAAAAAAGGAAATTGTGCGTGTAAGAAAGACATGCGTATCAAAAACAACCGAAGTGTTTCTGTTCGCCTCCTTTTTCACTCGTCTCAACCGGACCGAAAGTCTGCAATACATGTAGGCTTGCAGCCGAATGCAATATGAAGAATTTCTCTTTTATTCTACAGCTAACAAGTGCGTTTATTTCTCAACAAATAGCTAACCTTTTCAAGCATTCAACTTGAGTGCTCTTCACTACCGTTTTGTAGTTATAATTTATGTCGAAAAATGACATGAGGATGTACAGCTGTAGTGCGGAGGTTTCAATAACTATTTCACTAGGCGGTTTCCGATCCTGTTATTGGCGGCTATGGCCGGAAAAAAGGGCCAAAAGGCGAAACTCAAACACGAGAGCCTGCTTGCAGCTAAACAGACGATAAGATAAAGAAAGTAGACAGCTAGTCATTAGTTCTAAACAAGGACCGCTATAACTCGCCACAGTCTTCAATCGCGATCTTTTTGCTTGTTTTACCACTTTTTGATCCAGTTGCTTCTACTTTTCTGACAACATCCATTCCATCAATAACATGACCGAACACAACATGTTTTCCATCTAACCAATCAGTTTTCTCAGTGGTGATGAAAAATTGGGAGCCATTGGTATTGGTGCCAGAATTAGCCATTGATAGAACACCAGCACCAGTATGCTTCAGCACAAAGTTCTCGTCTGCAAATTTCTGACCATAAATTGACTTTCCCCCCGTACCGTCGTGCTTGGTGAAATCTCCCCCTTGCAACATAAACTGGGGGATTACTCGATGGAACGTGCTGCCTCGATATCCAAAGCCTTTTTCGTGGGTGCAGAGGGCACGAAAGTTTTCAACAGTCATAGGAACAACATCATGTCTTAGTTCTATAGTTATCCTTCCTGACTGGCGTCCCCCGATAGTTATATCCATGAATACTCGCGGATTTCCTTTCTTTAGTTTTGCATTTGCTTCTTCGGTAGATTCCTCAGTTTTATCCTCCGAATTTTTCATTTCGGCATCCTCTAAAGTCTGCCCTGCGTGTTTGCTTAACCAGCTATCTTCACTCCACACAGCACGACTGTAACCTTCCTTGATCTTCATTGGTTTGGCGATGTTCACACGAATTGTTCGCCCAAAGAGTTCGGATTCGTTCATGTTGTCAATAGCAGCCGCAGCGTCTTCTGCGAGCTCAAATTCCACAAATCCGAATCCTCGATGCTTCTGACTTGAGTAATCCATTGGTATTTGAACATCTGTAATGTCTCCGAAAGGAATAAAAGCGGCGTGAAGGACTTTCTCGTCAACTTCTTCTGCCAAACCACCAACGTAAACCATGCGCTTATTCGCCATTTTGGATTCCAGACACCCAAAGTGCAGCATGGGTGAATTCCAGTTTCCCTCGGTTCAGAAACTCAACAGGAAGCAAAGATGTCGGTAGTGAAGGAGATAGTTCTGTATTTTCAAAAAGATTTGTATTGCAAAATAACCGAGATTGCTCCTAAAAGGGGTAGTGCCAATGAATATCTTCAATGAGAATGAAGAAAGTTTCGGTGGCTGAGGAAAACAATGGAAAAACTCAAGGAAAAGAGGGAAGCAAGCTTAACAGGTGAGAATTTCTACGTTAGATTACGGGATTGTTAGCGATTCTTCTGCTTGTTGTAACGCGAACGAAGCACAGTTTTATAACAACAGAAATCTGTCTTCGACATCGTTAAATCCTACCAAAGTCTTTCCAGTTACTTTTAGCTCCCAAAAATTAGCAGTTTGGGGGCAAAAATCATTTCGAGAACAAGCGCGTTTTAGCCTTTCTTAAATCTGAACACGTACGAAAAGTATATTGAAATTAATCGACATTGCTCGCTCTTCTTGCGTGATCGCATAAACGATAGAGTAAGAATTTAAATAAGTAGTTGCGAGTTACTACATTTCTTCCTAGGGTAAACGTTTTCTACTTATTTCCAGCATTTTCATTATGCAGAGTCAAATGATGAAAGAACTTGGGTGAAAGTTGAAAGTGATACTTTTGAACGTATAATTTTACCAATTTGTACCTTGCCATATCAAACGACTCGCTGAGCTGTTTGATGTTGTATTTAATGGAAATTAAATTCAGTTTTGAATATAGAATATCGATGGAACATTGTGGTATTTCTCTACATATTCGTGTACCTGAATAGTTTACGTTGGATTAAAAAGAACTTGGCAGCTAAGCGTAACAAAGTTAATAATATGCACATGCAGAAACATACAATAAATAGAAAAATTCTACCCAACAAGGTAAATTTAACTTTTTGCAGTTATGACAGGCCTAAATCACGTTTTGGATTTTAAACTTTTTCCTAAACAAAAATTTAAAATAAAAAAAGCCAATTTAGGTTTCTGATTGTGCTTCCCATTATGTACAGGGAATTCATTTATTGTTTTTTACAAGTGTAAATCAAACTGATGATAATCAAAAAATGATTGATTATGGCACAGCAGTAACAATAGCAATGATCAGATTGTTTATTCAATTTTCTTTGACTTGCAAATTAAATTTTAGAGTTAATGGATATGAAAAAAAATTGTGCCTCAACACATCAGAGTGACTCATTTCTTTGCAGGTCCTCTATGCAACTTGCAAATAGAGTGGATATTCAGCTGAGGTCTGCAGTGGAATGGCAAGATCTTTTTCATCCAGATGCTGTTGTATTGCGACAGAGGTACAGTAGTTACCTATTTTCATTTTGTCTTTATAGAAAATTAGACATTTTTAACCATTTAACTCCTAGGAGTGACCAAGATATACCATACAATATCAAGTAGACATTTGATGAGAATATATAAAAATATCAATTACAGGATAACCATTTGATCCAACACTAAGTTCTCAGAATGAGAATTGTAAGCAATCTGTGGCTGATAGTAGGGAGAACTACTGATGAGATCTTGGGAATGAAAGAGTTAATAACTGATAAAGATATGGTGTTGAGTATCAATCATATTTTATCAAGAAGGGAAATCATTACAATGTCATGTTTCCTTGCATCATCTTCAGATAGTAGGTTATTAGTGGTTTTATGTCATTTTTAGCTTTCCTCTTAATCATCTGTTGAGAAAATTTTCCTCTTCACTGTTAAGATTTTAAAAATACCCTCTAATCACCTTTGAATGGTTTCCAGGCTTAGAGCCCAGTGCGAAAGCCTTATTCTTCATCATTCCAAGGAATATGGCCGTAGGGCTGAAGAACGACTATGGAGAAAGGTCTTCTACGATGTCATCCAGAAGCTCAGGAACCATAGAAAGGTAATGAAAAAAATAAACCTCATGTAAAGAATAAACTACAGGGTTGTCAATTAGGTAATTTTTGCTATCCTTGTTAATTAAATCACATACTCTCTGACTCAAGATCTGTTTTAGCTGGCCCCCATTTTGGTGTAGTCAAGTGATTATAAGGGAATTGGGTTCAGCATAATATTCATTTCTCAATACATTTGTCTGTTCTACATTTACCTTCATGTATAATAGTATATTGAAATTATGAAGAGAATTGACAAGCTTAAAGGATTAACACCACCTATGCTATATTAAGGGTTAATTATTGTGTTGTGTTAGATCCAAGAGGGTGATACCCTTCCTCTAGATGGAGTTCTCCGCACCCATCTGTCCTCTGCAGCTGGATATTATTACCACCTGTTGACTCATCTTCAGCGGCGATATCACCTTGCTGTTGATGGTATATTGTCTTGGGGTTTGCTATCCAGGCACCAAGGTGAGAACTTGCTTTCTTTTATTTACATCAACTTTCAATAACATGGATTTATTATTTAGTAATTCCTTGCTTTGTTTAAAGTTAATGCAATTATTTGGGAATCTGTAAATTACCCTGTGTTTCTTTAATATTGAGGATTGTGTCTAGTAGGCTTAGGAGATTGAAGATGATTGCATCATTTGACTACAATGACTAGATGCTTCTGCCTTATGCCAGATGCTTTTGCCTTATGTTTTCTGAAAAATAAATCCTTTTTTTTTAACCACAGAGCAGAATTCTCCTGTAGAATTTCAATGACCTCAGCTTTTTTTTCTTCATACAAAAAAAAGTCTCCTGTTACTTTATCCCTTTACACCCTAACATCTGGTATTATATTCTCTTTTCTGTCCTCTTTGTATTTCCTAACAAGGAGAATTTGTTTCACAATCAGAAGTTTCTTAAATTGGTGATCATTTCCTTTATTCTCATGACCTTTACATTTGATTTGAGGATGATGCTGTAAAGAGAAATCAGAAGCCAATCACTCTAAGGAGTTGAAGGGTTATATAATTCCTTTACCACTACATTACTAGATAAAAATCCTTTGTTTTATGGTCAACCCCTTTAACAAGGAAACTCCTTTGTGTTAGTAATATTAAACAAGGTCCTTGTGTTTTCAAAGCTGAAAATCAGGATGAAGAGGTCCAATCCTGGGCAGTAAAAGCCTGTCAACGCTGTCTCATATTCCTTGGAGATATTGGTAAGAATTCTTTTTAAGCAGAGCCCCAGGTTTAATTTTCCAAGAAGTCACTTTTGGCAACCTTCAATAACATTTTAAAATTGTCTCCGTAATAAAAATTTGTTTGCCTTTCTGTCCCCCCCCCCTTCCCTTTCTGCCAATAAAAGAAGAAAAAACCTGATGTTCATGGGAGGACATTTCATGTTCAACTACATGCATTAGGTAGTGAACTAAAAGATGCTGTTCGAAAACTTTCATTTGCCAAATTGGTATGTTTAATGGAAATTGCCAATGAAAAGACTGTTATGATGGTTTAGAAAGAGAGAATGAAGAAATTCTGATGACTGGATGAGAAAAAATTTACTATGAAGTCAGTTAGACCAAGTAACAAATCATGTTTAGAACAGTTTCAGTCTACTGCTCAGCTGAGAAATATCTCTCATTTGAAGTGAGTTGAAATATTGGTTTTAAAACCTTCAATATGGTATTAAACATTTTGAAACATTTGATATTTAGTCATTATACTTCTTACAGCAAAGTTGAGGGCTAGAGTTAAATGCTGCACATAGTATAAAATAAAGTCTATGTCAATGAAAGAGACTTGATCACTACTCATTTTAGGTTTATGCGTATTTGGGAGTTATAAAATGGTTGGTTGGCATTTGTTCATTTGATATTGGACCAAGGTCAATTTTTTTTCAAATCTGTTGATTCCCAATTGGGGACTTCAAAATTTTAGTTGCCAAATGTGTTTCTCACTTACCACGGCAACCAAAATGGTTGCAATTTGGAGCTTTGTTAAGAAGGCAATTCTTTTAGCCCAGGTATATTTGCTCAGATTTCTTAGTAAAGATATGATTTTCTTTCTACAGCACGGTATCAATCAGACATTGAAGGAGAAGATGCTATTAAACTTGCTGAGAGGTTCTACTCTGAAGCAGCTCTCATTAATGTTGACATAGGTGACAAAAATTAATTAATTACAATGATTTCCTTGTGTTTAAATGAGAACTGATAACTTTAATACCTCTCTATGCCTCTGGGCCCAGTTCAAAGCATAGGTAATGCCATCTAATGTATAAATCACTATCCAGCAGATACCCCTGGTACATGTAAGTTTTAACAAAATGTGCAGCATCATCCACTGGGTAGAGATTAATCCAATGGATGGTTATTATTCACCTTTCACACCAGATGTATGAATTATTTACCAAAATTTTTTTCCTTTTCTTAGGCATGCCTCAAAACCAACTTGGAACCCTTGCTGGCACGAAAGCTTATGGCTGTGAGGGAGCCTATTTTTACTTACGCTGGTGAGATTTCACTTAATTACCCTGTCCAGAGATGTTGATGTGTTGAGCAAGGGTAATCTTGCTCAGTTACAAAGGAATAAAATGCAAAGTTTCCAGTGTTGTTTTTATGACAAGAAAATAGGATTCATATTCCTTAGCTTGCCAAACTTTTTGCTATCATTGTTCTACATTTACAATATATGATTATGTTACTACCTTCAAAACATGAGTACAAAGATGCATAAATGAGAATAATTTCTATGTACTACATTTCAAGTCTACACAGCAAACTTATGTTGGGATGCATGGAATCTGTTGTTTTGCAGTTTGTTGTCCAAGGAGGTGTTTGATGGTGCTGAAGGAAACTTGCTGAGAATTTTTGAAAAGAACCGTTCCATCCTGCATAGGATTAAAGAGTTGCCTTTGGATGAGCCCAGACCCAAAGAAAGGTGAGTTGATATGCTAGCTGGATTTCAACTTGTCGCACTATTTGCGCTGGCAATCAGCTGGTGTTCAGTTTAGCGCCCCCCACCCCCACCCCCCCCTCCCATACCTCATACCTCCTTCCCCTGATCAAAAGCTTTTAGATTTTAGTTTTATAATAATTATTTTCAGCACGGTATTGTCACATCATAAAATATACTTGTATTTGAAGGCTTGTATCAGTGTCCCTTTCAAGCTTGTAGATTTTCATGCCAAGAAAAGCATACTATTTACAATATCTATGAAATCTGGGCAATGACAAAGGAGAACTTTAAGTTTTTACAAAGCCTACCCAGGGCTTATACAAGTGTTTTTGTGCTGTATAACCGTGCATGTTTTTATGGATAATTTTTTTTTCCCTTTCAAACCAGATTAAAGAGGTTTCTAGTGTACTTCTTGTACCTCCAAGATGTGTTGTACCAGCATGAGAAGTGAGTACATGCATCAAGGCAGTAGTCATAAGAATATTGTACCCAATTTATGTACTAAACTTTTAAAATTATGTTTCAAATCAAGTTCCTGAGTTCACAATTAATTTAGCATGAGTCAGTTTAGAATGGTGTAACAGGGGCTTCTGATCTTGGAATGGGTTTTTTATGGTAGTTGCCATGTGTTTGTTAGTTTAAGTTGCCATGTGCTTAATGAAGCTGATGCAAAATTTTTTTTGCAGTGAGGGGAAAATTGGTTTTTAGTTTATTTATTGTGAAAATGAACAGTAGCATGCTTGTTGAAGAGTTTCCAAGAGTTAATTTTTATTTATTGTGGTAAGGTTTAGCCAAGAATGGTATTGAGGAGGACTGTTGTGGGTTAGAATAAGTCTAAGAGTTTTTGACCTTGGAATAACTTTTTGGACTGTGACTATGACCACTTGGGTTATCCTTTGAATTGTCACTCACTGTAGAAAATAACAGACCTTTCTATGACCACCTTGGCTGTGACAACCAGCTGACACTACCTCTCTTAAGCCATTTGCCCCAAATGACATATCTGTGATTTCTTTATTTAGTTCACCCGAGATAAGCAGTGAAGACATAGGTCATCTTTGCCAGTCAGTATTACAGGACTTCAGTAGTGTCCTATCTGTAGATCCAGCCTCCTCCACTCCAAGCCACAACTCATCACTAGAAAATGGTCTGATTGCTGCTCAGGAAAATGGCGGTCTGGAGCATGACGTCACTGAAGACATCGATGACGTCATAAGCAGCTCGCTTATGGTGAAGCTGGTTGTCATGGCGATTGCAGCTGTGACCAGACTACAGTCAAAGGGTGAGTGTCGACTGAATACCCCATGAAGTTCCTACGACAAAGATAATCTCTCTAGCGGGGCGTTTTTATCGAAGAATCTGTTCTCTTACTGATGATGTGGTGTGTGACCTGTGGGTTGCATAAATGATTTGTTGTAGACAAAGTGTTAACGTAGGTAGCCATAAAGCAAAATAAAGGAGATTGAATGAAGCTAGTCTGCGAGCAGGTCCTCATTAGTAGGGCTTGGACACTAATCGTAAGGGAAAGTATGAGGCTTTGAGAAACGTGAGCCGGCGAGATATCTGCAAGGTGGACTCACACTGAAAATGGGTGCCAGACACCTGGCAAATTTCTCTAGCTCCCCGGCCGGTTTCAAATCTTCCCCAAGTCTTTCCGCGGACGGAGAAACGCTTGTCGTGCAGCTGAAATAAAGCCTTTACGAGCTGTTGAGTGACTTAGCTTGAACCTCTCCTGATCTGAAAAAGTATCGCCTCCAGAATTCATAATGGAAAATTTGAAAAAAAAATCGTGTTTTTTGTATTCCGAGTTCATGATGTGGTTGTGATATAAGGTGTTCTTTAATTTGGCAGGTTCTCAAGAGTCGTCGGTAGCAATAGCGTTCACTTTAGCGTTCTTGTCTCTTCTTCTTCAACACTGTATTTCGTCGTTAGAGATTTACTTAGCTAAAGAACACTCCAACGCAGAACACCAAGTGATGAACGGACCAGCAAATGCTGTGCTCTCACACAACGGGCTGAATTCGGAAAAGTTGTCGAAACACGATAATTCCGTGACAGGAATTACAGCGCAAAGTAATTTAAACCGAAACAAAGCAATCAAGAACGTCTTGAAACATCGGCGACGAAGGAGGAGGCGAAGAAATATCGATTACAGCTTTGACAGCTACAGTGGCAGCGGAAGTGATTTGGAGGAGTCGGAAGACAATGAAGAAGACGAAGACAGCGACTTGAGTGAAGGCGGAGAAATGGACGGGGAGCTGGAGGATTTGGTCAGCGATGAAGATGACAGTGAAGATGTTTATGTAGAAAGTGAATCGGACGAAGAGGGTAGTAACACTGGATCCCTGCCAAAGGCGATGTCCACGGCTGCAAATGGACGACATCTGATGAAGGAAACACAGCATAAACCCGCAGACAAGTCGCTTTGTCATCAAACTGCTTCAGACAAGCTGGGGTTTAGAGCCAGTCTATTGGGACAGAATGGGATTTCAGTGGGGAAAGTTTTCAGGCCTGATCTGTTCAGTGATGTGAGCGACGCAGAAACAGGTAACAGAACAAATTTCCATTAATGGACTTGAATCCTTATCGTTCTGTATACATAGATTAAGTTCCAAAAGATTCATTTATGAAAGTTTTCTGCGTGTTTTACGTTTAAAATCAAAATAACAATTTTATGTTTTGCCAAAAATTCTCTCAGGCGTTTAGTTCGTCCGAGCAGTTCATATCTTGGTTAGCTCGCTAGTACTTTGTTTGGTTGACTGGATAGCGCTATTTTGTTTTTCTTTTCGCCCTGTGGTTTCGATGGTTTGTTTGTTTGTCTGTTTTTATAGCATCCGGGGTGCCACAAGCGACTTATTTTGTCTTTGGGTGACTTGTCTAACTTCATAATTTGGTATTTTTAACTGAATTTATGACGTAAATTGGCCACCGTTAAGAGTTTCTTTGTTAGCTGTGAAACTCTTAGCGGTGGGCAATTTACGTTATGAACTCAGTTGATAATACCAAATTACCGTGTTATACTCTCCCACAGACGCAGCACCACAGTTTCTTTAGAAACGTACCCCTTATATTCATTTTCCTAACGTCAGTTTGCTTTTGTAAAAGCTTTTAAGTGCTTGGCAACCCAGATTTCCTAAACAGAGCCCCCTGCTGTAAGTCGGTAGATCTTTTGCTCTACATGGTGAGATCAGTCATCCGAGGTTGAAGTACTACTCTGTAAAAGAGCAACGGAGAACCATTTAGTTAGCTTAACGAATGTTGTAAATTACACTGGTTTTCTTTATTATTATAATTATTATTATTATTTATTATCTCTGAAGAGTCTTCAGTGGCCTCAAGAGCTGAAATACTTCGAGATTGTGTAGAATCCAACTTGCTGAAGGCCATAGCCAATCAGAAGCTCTTACCTGCCATCAAGGTGATGACTGACTGGCTGCGACTCAACGGAGAACTGGTGATGACTTGTGTTGAGGTAGAACACTTCATGCAAATAATTTTGTTGAAGTTCGAAAATGATCGCCATGATGTAGTGAAGGGGGGGTTGGGGAGAAAAGCGTTCGCCTGTCATTGCGGTAGCCTGTGTTCTATTGCCGAAGTAGATGTTTCTTGTGGTTTGAATTTGTTTTCCTTGCTTGTAAGAATTTCCTCCAGTTTTCCTCTCTTTACGGGAAAAAAAAAACCTTTCAAATGGTGACTCGACCTAACATCAGATAATAAGGCTTGAAGAGCTACCCCTACAAGGAAAATGAAAATATCTCCTCACAAGCTTACAAACCTCTGGCTTCGTACGACAGAAATTTCAAAATACCTTCTGCAAACGGCTGGCTTTGAACGACAAAAATTTCAAGCGTAGAAGTTTGCCTTTGCCTTTGCCTTTGAATTCATGGTTGAGCTCTTCTTCGTTGTTGTCCTAGAGCCTCAGCTCCCTGTGGTCAAGACTGGCTGTTCTACTGAACAAGTTTCCATCGCCAGAGCAAATGATTGTTGCAGGTAGGCAATGCTGATGGCATTTAACTTACCAATCTGGATCAGTCGCCGTAAAATAACATTAGAAATTAAGTTAATTTTAGAGGTTATTTCATTCGTTTTTATTGTCCTATCTTTTCATATTTTTGTTTGGTAAGTTCCATTAACAAGACTGCAAACATGGCAAAGTGTTCTTGACGAGCCGCTCGATAAGGACTGGGTCCAAACACGTGGTCTACCAGAAGACATGTCTCTGTTAGGATTTACTCCACTGACCGCTATACACAATAGGCTCGACAGGAAGTGGAGCAGGCTTACGAGGGACTGCTACTATCTTGAGGTAGTATCATTAACACTGCTACATAAAAGTTGATATTTCTGTATAAATCTCATTCCTATTTTATTGTTAACTGTCACTTGTTGCACGAACGATTATGAAAGATGAATTTCTATCTTTCTTTTTGAGGAGCAGTTTAACGCTGATTTCATTCGTTTTGGTTTATTCAAAGGTTTCTTATTTTAGTAATTATTTTAATTACTTTTTTTTCGCTGTTTCAGGCTGCAGTTCGAGTTCAGTGTTTGAGAAGCTTTGGAATGAAGGTGGCTTCTACTCAGGTACCTTCCATTTGGTTTGTAATTATATTGGAGTTTTTTTCGAGAGAGCTCAGTAATTTTAAGTGTTCAAATACTTTTTGGTAACAACGTACTCTTTGGAGCGCTTTTCGATTGATTTTTGCCAAAAACAAAGCCAATTAGGGTCAGTGGCGAATCAGAACAAAGGGGAAAATCGCGAAGGGTCATTGACTTCTCAAAAGAAAAACAACCAAACTGTCAGAGGCATAGGAAAACGTGAGAGAGAAAGTTTTACATCTGATTGCTTGGGAGAGTGACACGAATTTTCTCAACCAATCACAGAGTGAAGAGAAGCAAGACCAATGAAATTCCGGATTACTGACAAGGCTCAGTGAGAAATTGCTCTATTATCTTTACTTTCGACAGGAGCTTAGTTCGTTCGATTGGGACCCGAACACACATCAGTTTGTTGGACCTCAGCAGATGGCGGAACGAGAACAAATGATGGCTGTTGATAAACGACCCGCAGCACCGCCTGTGGTGAGACAGGAATTATTTGGTTGAATTATTCACTTACATTTTGTTGTCAAAAGGGAGAAGAAAAAATGTTGAACACTGCCTTTCAGTTTCCTTTTCCTTTAAAGGTCGGGAAGGGGTGAGCGACTTAGATCAGCAAAGACACAGCATGACCGTTTTGTTTCTCTGTCTCTCATTATTAGGGAGATCATGATAGACGAGCTAGAGTGATGAAAGTGATGGCGCAACAGTTATTACAGGTAATTTAATCATTTGATGATATACAATCAGTGACACCTGAAAGAGTCCAATTTTTTGCGTTTAATTTATCCATTTATCACGTTGGAGCGCTTGATCCGTTGCTCATATTTTTAAGGGAAAAATATGAGGAAAAGAGATAACTCTAAATACTGAGGACAGGGACGGAGTGTTTAAAAATACAAGCCCACCATTCCCCCATTTCTCCCCCCCCCCCCCTTAATACCGGTAGGACTGAGACTTGCCTCATTTCACGCCAAATAATTAGTGTGGTGGCATGATGATCGGACCTGACGACGCAGTGATTGAAGCACAAAAACTTCTTTACGATTATCTGATAATTTTCACTTTTATCTTAAAACTTGTGGACTTGTGGAGTTCGGGGATTAACCTCTCAATCTAATTGTAGTCGGAAGTGGCTGAACTAGAGAGCACCCTTAACGCAGCTCCTAATGATGGACCAGTTTATGTTGTTCCTGATGCTATGGCACTTTGTACTCAGTTACATCTGGTGCGAAGACTGATCGCCTCGGAGAAACTTGTGGTCATCATTCCTATCCAAGGTACAACCGCTTTTACTAGCTTGTAGGCATCTTTCTTAGCATTCTTTTATTCGGTATCATTCCACTGTAGAACTATTTACTTTGGATTTTTTAATTGCAGATGTAAATTGAAAGTCTTGAACGACCAAGAGTGTCGTTTTCGTGCTTTCCATTTGTTAGCCAATGATGCACATTTTCCCTTAAAAACTGGTTTCATGGCGCAAGTGGTCTCATTTTCCCGCACTTGACACTGGTTACACAATTTCCCGCGCTTAAAATCAGTTGGATGGCGCCAGGTTCCTTATTTTCCCGCACTCAACACTGGTTGCTTTCTTTTCCCTCGATTTTCAATGGTAACAAGTCAACCCATTCTTGGCCTCGCTTATCGATTGGGGCACAGGAAGAATTTCTTCTAAATTTAGTGCAAAGTCCGTTTTTAGAAAAGCTACTTTTTTCACTCTTTGTTCGGGTTCTACATTCTTTTGGTGTATGATTTTCTTGTAGTAATTTCTGCGCTTGACGATCTGAAAAAGTATGACAGTGGTGCGAGAGAGGCTACTAAGTTTTTAGAGCAGGAGTTTAAAAAAGGCAACAGGTACTGAAAACGACTGATTTCTTGTGTCACATCATTTTGTTTGAACTCTTCGTTTTCTATTTTGTGGTTGAACGCCTGCAATGCTCGTATCCTTTGCACTTGTTCCTTAGATGGATTAGAGCTCAAAAAGAGAATGAAACCTTAGACGGACAACGGAGGCGCGGACGTTATGAGGACGTGGCAGTGTGGTAAGAATATCATTTCCTGGCTGCAGGCTGTTTATTTCCTCGTTCGCTAAGTCTCATCGGTGTTTTTAAGGGACAGCCATCCCTTGCGAGAGAGAATCGAAAAAAAGTCTCACATTGGAAATTGCTCTTCCATTAGAGTGGCTTCATTGTCATATGAATGAGGGTTTTGAGAATATTTACAGTTCGCTTTGTGTCATTGCATAACTCCAATCTACGTCTTGGTTATTGGGTTGGTTTTTTGCTCCGTGCTCAATTACCGTTCACTTCAGGAAATTTTGGTGAGTATGGAAAGAATGAACACAATTGAAGAAAAATTGTAAGAATTTCAAGTAACAAACTTGAAAAGTTTCAGACGGGTCTCAGAAGATAGCACGTTTCGAATGGAAAGTGAAGGTAGGAGAAAGGAACTTCTTATTCTATTAATCAATCACGCGATCTGTATGGAACAGTACCCATCCTTGGATCCCGAGGCTGTCCGTGACTAAACAGCCGACTTAGTAAGACATTTTGTATTTTGCAGGCGTTTCAATCAAATCGTCAGCTGTTGTCGCTTCTTCCTGCGTCAAACTGGCAAGGGCCTCGTGACTTTACTAACCGGAAGTACCTCGTATGAGGCTCCAAAGCGAGGCCAAAGAAAGGGTGTGACCTCTAGTGGTACCCAGGCTACCCCAGAAGCAGTGGAATTTGCGCGAAGCTACGGAGTCAACGTGGAATCTCTTCGCGCGTTCTGTGCCCGGTTCTCCAAGCAGTATAAGGCAGTTACGTGACGTTTCGTGGAAATCCAGATGTTCTGGAAGAGATAAAGATATGATGGGTTGTGCACCTAACCCTAAACCCCAACCTAAAATGTAGGGCTGAAAAACAACATGACCCAGCAATACCAACCTAGCCGGGTGCAGTCTATAGATAAAGCAAACCACCACAGGGTAACCAGCTTGTTCCCTATTGCTTAAGGAGATGTTTAAGTGTAACCTTTCAAGTATGGCACCCCTTTCCAAGATAACGTTCTAAAAATTGTAGACGAATTTCATTTCAGCCTTTATAAAGGTGTGTGCGGCTTTCATTAGCTGTTACAGCTCGCAATTTCTGTGTTTGAAGCAAAACGTTCGGTTGTCATTCGGCCATCAATGGCCATACCCATCATGTAAGACAAATCCTATCTTCCTGCCTTCTCGACTTAAATTTGTATTTGAAGTAACAACTGTGGGAGGGTGGGGTCGTGAGTGATTGGTATTGAACACTAAGTTGTTGCATCTCGATAGAAGTCGGTTTGACCTCCGCCGATTATCTCGGATTTTGTCTGAAAATGTCAGTAATGAAGGTAAAAGTTAAAATAGGTAGACCATGATTTATTGTGTTGGCTCTCAGCAATCTTCATTATTAAGTGTTTTCCAAAATGTTTCACGTCATGACGGTAGATATGTTACGCAAACACACTCGTTGCTGTCAAAATTACGCTTTGTTGCTAAATGTGCGCAGCTAAATGTGCGTAATAGTATGGTAGGCATGGGTAAAAGTACCTCCATTTATTTTCATGAATAACTTGGACCATTAGAAACGGTTTTTCCTTATATTTAAAGGTGATGGCATACTGATCCATGTGAAATGTATTGGAACCCAGCATGATTAGTTTGCTTGGAAAGACACGGTTTGAAAACCTTCCTGTTTGAAAAGTTTTTCTTTTGCACACTATTTGATCATGGGGCATGATTCGACGTTGCTTGATTGATTCATTTCACGCGCTTTAAAAGTAAACATCGAGCAGATAAGTAGTAAGGTGGCCGAATAAGAAAATGTTAGATCTTGAAAGGTGTCAAAAATCGACGTTGCATTGATGCATTGTAGAGACAATTAGTGAATCAATAAATGTGTTTTCTTGGACAATCACTCTTTTATCTCATGATTAAAACTGAGAAACAACGCAACATAAATTTACTTTATTTGCACAGAATGAGAGTAGGATTTCGATTGAAACATGGTGGTGGTAACGAATGTGTCTGTGGTTCTGCAATGTTGGGAAAAAATAAAATGAAACAATGAACGCACCCTACCCCTCTTCTTCTTTCCGAAATGGACGATGATGGCGCCAAGACTAACACGTATGGGAAGAAAGGTTAGGCGCAATTTTCCTTTCATTTTGCCATTTATGACTACACATTGCCCGGCTCCCAGAAGTCCACCTCCCAAATAGAGGCGAAAGAGCCTGAAAAGCATAATTCATCATTCTAACTTCATCGAAGTTTCTTCGAAGCCTCTTTTCCACGATTAAGAAAATGTATGTCCCATTACGGCGTTTATTTGAAGAAATCAAAATAAATTCAAGCTCACGCGAAACTGGAGCCAATTTTAGGTAAAAATCTGCGTGACACAGAAATCGGTTTAACGTTAAAAGTGGCGCGGCGTAATCGTTTTAAGCCAATACCGACACGCACGCGACCCAACCAATTTTCGTCACTTTCTAAATCGCTTTATTAAAGTTGCGATGGCGGATTTTTGCAAAGCAACTGAAGCCAATTCAGGAAGCCAATCAATACTAATCACGCACTGGATAAGAAGTGTCTCTGATGATTAAAAGAAATGTTAGAAAAATGATGTAATGAATAACTCGATCGTCATCGATGCAAATAGTCATTGCTATGTCCAGACCACGTGATATGAATCACACCATTTGTGCGCCACCCAAGGCTCAGAAATGCTTTGGACATGGATTAGCTGCTATATTTTGTTACATCATTTCAGTACTTAGTGGACATTTTGTTCCCTTCAGTTCTACTTTAAACCAAGATCAAATATTGGCCTTTGTGTATGCTCTTTTTACAGGAGAGCTCCCTAACTTCAAGGATGAACTTCACTCACCTGAATGCGCGCCGCCTTTCAGAAGACTCTTATTCCCTATTTCCCCGTCCCCCTCCCCCGAGGGGTGCGGGGGGGTTTGAGCACTCACTCGAGCCACACGCCTTGGCAAGAACGCGTCGGGGTTTACAAGCACGCACTCGAGCAACACGCCCACGCAAGAACGCATGATACTTACGTGCGGTTAATTGTCTTTCAATAGTGTAATTATTGTCCCTTTCTTTACCGACAATATTATATCATTAACGGCCTCGGAAACAAGGCTCTGTTCTGGAGTCTCGGGTCTTCCGAAAAAAAAAATTGCCAGTCTATTTTTAAAATCGCGGCGAGATGCCAGAGTACAATATTAGCTCTCCTTAATCCTATTAACAACCACAATAAAGCACATAGCACCGTAAAGCCATGAACTGTTTACTTAAGAATTCTTTTCGTGCCCAGTCAGTTTAGTCTAAGCAGCTTTGTTGTATAAATCTAAGGTAGAGCGATCACTATCAATAGATTTTAACTGGTTGAGGTGGCATTTAAGTGATTTAGACGCTATCTTATGGTTAGGTCGCGTTTCAGACAGAAGATAAATAGTTTTCTAAAACATACCACTTGCTAAATTCAAGCTGTGTCAACGTATTTGGTACCGGATGAAAAAGTAGTGAAAAAAAAAAACGTTTTTGTTTGTATTTCACGAGTGCACCACGCTTTTGCTCTAAGACCACTTGCCACCCGTCAAACTTTTCTCTTTCAAAAACAAAAGCAGCTGATAGCCGTGCAAGTGACTGGTAAGACCCTACTGCTTAAGTAGGTTACCATGAATTATCGTCGAGGCGTTTTGGAATTTTCCGTTACCTGACAGTTTAAAGAGTTTAAAAGGCGTCTTTGTTTAAACGATTGACCAAGGATATTCGCTGGGACTAATTAAAATCTTCAGCGATACAAAGGCCAATAAAGTGAGTTGTAAATCCCCAGATTTCAAATTCCTTGAAAAAGCTGATGAACTTTTTTTTGCAACGATATGTTTCACCAAGTTGACTACAAAGTCCAGTCTACCCGTCTTGCGGAAAAATCTCATAGGGTAGGTTGGGATCATATTTCAAGAAAAATAGCCACTTTACGCCTAAGAAATGTTTCATTCCGTTAACGGAAGACTCAGGAAAGAGTGTTATGAAGCCGGTAATAGGAATCTCTCAATTCACGAAAGGGCAAATACTCTCACGAAGCAACGTTTATTGGATGTAAACCCACTGTCTTGTAATCATATTTCAATTATACTAGCTTATACTTCCGTTTCAATATCGATTCACGCAGGAAAAATTGCCAGAAAATTATCATGGAAATTCCAACGAACCATTTAATGCACGTTTATAAAGTATCTAAGTCAACACCCATCCTGTGGCTAAAATGGTACGCGTTTCTTTTCAAGAACTCCTGATAACAGAAGATCTTACATATCAACAGATGTTCAAATTTACTTACCGTCGTTTTCAAGACATTAGCCAAGCACTTAATTTTTTAACATCCACTTATGTCACTCTAACTCTATTAACACGCGGATAGCGGAAAAGGCTCTCTATTTCCTAATTAAATAATTAACGACAAAAAACACGCAAAGGAATTTACAAACCACGTGGGAAGAAGTGGCTTTCACCCGAGTGCTAAAATCAATGGACATGGGTGTAACTGCGGTATTTTAATCCCTATTTCAAACAGGATGCGGTCACACAGTTCCGCACCGAAAAATCCATATATCTCTCAGGAGGAGAGGAGCTGTGTCTTGTTTTCCATCTGGCTGTAAAACAAATAGGGCTCGTCCGTTTGTGTAGTTATTTAAGACCTTAAATATAGCCATCTCATGATGAAACAAAACCATTGTGTGCTTCCTGTGAGGGCGTTAGAGCAATGTACATCATCTGATGACGCAAGTAAATACGAGCCTTATTCCAGCCTAGTTTGTCATCATCTAATCACAACGTTGTAAGTTGCTTGCTTTTCTTCCACATTGAGATTTTATCTACCTGCGCCCATTGTTTACAGCATTTCTTTTGGAGATTGCGATTCTTTGCATTCATAACCGAATTATTATCGTTCTCTACCCACTCGCAATAAGTATTTCCTTTTTAAAAAACCATCACGATTCTGTCAAGATTTTGTGGTAAATGCAATATAAAAACATCATAAAACTGTAAACAAATATGGAAATGACTCAACAAGGCTGCAGATCTTTAATTAACCCTCGCTGATAAAATATGGCCTCAAAATAAGTTTAACCTTTTGAAAATATCCTTGCACGCAATGTGCCGGATATCTCAAAAGCCTTCACATTCCTATTTCCTTTCCGCCAGTTAATGTCTTTCGATACCTGTAGATGTCTCAGTATTTTCCTCCTTTGCCTCGGTCTGGAGAAACTCAGTGTGGTACATTCATTAGAGGGGAATTTTAAGTGAAAATAATTTGTGGAGGGCCAGAGATACGGCATTGACAATTCAGGAATGTTTTTCGGTTATAGTTAACTGACTCTTCTAAGCTTTCATATGCTTGCCTAATCTCGATGTTTTCAAACGCGTAATATTTATTTTTGGCTGTTTTCCTTTATTCCAGTCTAGCTTCCAATCAACGGGGTGCGGTCTGAAGCGGCCGCATACGCTGAGGCTGGCATGTTTACCAAAATGACTGAGTCTGTTTTCTTTTAGAAAAACTGCACGTTAACTCCATGTTTTTTTTTCCGTCTCCTGGTTGCCGCTCGAGAACAAGATTTGGCTCATATTTTGAAGAGCACTTTCTGATTACGTACTTAATCACTCTGCTAACTTACCAACTGGCATGAAATCAATTTGTAAAAATAACTCACGCAATGTGCTAGAGACACTGTAGGCACTCAAATTTTAACACCTTTACCGCCAATTAGAAATGGCAACCCCGTCAGTAAGGCAGGTCATTCTGCAACCACCCGCCTTCCGCTTAAAAAAAAAGCCGACTCCGCTGCCCTGTGGCTTGTTGGAAGGTCAAGTATTTCCTACCATGAATGTGGCGAGACATTTATCTAGCGCACACAATTTAAGATGGCTCGCTGATATCCGTGCGGTTGCATGATAATGATGTCAAGCCGCTTGCTTCTTACAGCTAGTTCCCTGTACGATCACGCACGATCAGTTGCGGTGTTTCCATTTCCTCTAGCTGAATCATCTGTTCTATTTCGTTTTAAAATTCATTCCTGGGTTGCACAAGTCGTGTTTAAAAAAGTATCTGAATCGAAGAGTTAAATCGTTCACCTTAAGCTGCCGTCCGTATGGTGGGAATTCCTTAGTTATGCATACCTGTTAACTCAACCAAAATCACATTCATTTGCCACTTTTCACAGAGATAATACGAGTCAAGAGGTTGCTTCTAATGTCATTTATAAGCAGCTGAATGCTTCATCATCTTGTAATTGATAAAGTGCATGAGTGGATTAACCAGGCTCCCCTCCCAAGAGCTTTCTCACTCGCTCTTGGAATTCAGACTTAAGTAATTATCAGTATGGTTCTTGGGCTTGCAAATTGACCTCTAGGCGCAGAGTGTTCAGAGGGGCTCATAATGGCATATCGCAGACGTAGACTCCGGCCACCAACAACGAATTCCGTACGAGATGGGCTGAGCCCTTCAGCATCGTGATTCAGTTCTAGTGTCGTGTATAGTCCGTATAATCTGCTTTCTGGTGGAAATAACCAACTGACAAACCGGCAAGAAATTGCGCTTCATAAAACCTGATTAATTTTCTTTGGTGAACTCAAGGGAAACTAGGAATTCCTTTCGTATGTTATGGCAAAAAAAAGACAAATAAATTTGACACATCATATTAAAAAGAAAACCGTATAAGTGTATTGTTGTAATTTTGTTTTTCCTCAGGGTGTTTTGAGTCACGTGCTCGGATTGATATTCTTATTGAAAGTCGAAATAGAAATAACATCTCCAGAGCTGTGTTTCAACCCCATACAGCTTTTTTCATTTTTTTTTTTTTTTTGTCTGCGTAGAAAACATCACTTTCTGATTTAGAATTTGCATACAGAGTCTCACTTATCAACTTAGAGTGGAAAACA